AAACCATGTTTACGGGAAAATATCGCAATTTCATGGTATCAGAGCATGCTTTCTAAAACCCTAGTTCTAGTCAATGGCTTCCTTACTGTCGACCATCTCCTCATCTCCTCTTCTTCTCGATTGCTTCTCTTCCCTTGCCAGTCTCGTGTATCACCATGACTGGATATCCAAAATCCAATGCTTCTCCTTTGTGTCTGACAAGCCTTCATCCACGATCAACATTAAACATGTTGTTCCTATCGTTCTTGACATTGACCATATGAATCATGACATTTGGCGGGAGCTATATGAGATCGATTGCATCAGTTATGGTGTTATCGATCACCTTCAGCCTCCAAAAGAGAAACAAACTACACCTTCCTACGCTACTAAATGGAACATATTGGACTCAATTGTTAAGTCATGGTCGTACGATACTCTTACTATATCCCTTCTTTAAACTTTTTTCAAGAAAAACGTTGCTGCATTTGAAGTTTGCCATAACATTGAGAAGGTTTTTCACAATAATAAGGAAAACAGGATTATCCACATTGATAATAAGTTTCACAACATATCCATTGGTAACTCTTCCATTACTGAATATTGCAATCATATAAAGAACCATGTTGATTTACTTGATAACATGGATGCAAAAGTGTTTGAACACAACCTTGTTACCTACACACTTAATGGTTTATCTCCAAAGTTTCAATATATAACAACCACCATCCGCCATTGTGACCCCCTGCCCTCGTTTTGGGATACTTGGTTTATTCTACTTCTTGAAGAACAGCAAATGTTACAAGATGAAACCCAACAGTTGGCACAAACACACTCAAATCATTCATCTTCATCGATTGTTTTGGCCACAGACTCCACTCAATCTCACAACATTTATCTAGGGGCTATCGTGGAGGTCGTGGGGATCGAAATCAGCGTGGAGGTCGCGACAACGGTCGTAATGGCGGTCGGAATAATTTTCAAGGTGGTGGTGGTGGTACGCGTTTTCCAGCAACAACCAAAGAAGTGGCGACACTTGGATGTTCAGTTGGAATAAGATTTATAGGAAAATATCACGATTTCAGTTTACTTATATTTAGTCATTTTATTCATACAAAAAATAGACTTAGTATACAACACCAGACAAGTTGTGGGAATTAGGTTTTTTAAAGCTAAGAAAAAAAAATACAATTATTGCAAATGTTGACGCTGGTATTTAGTTTCAAGAAGCATAGTATGACATAAAAACATTTCTTTTGCAATTATATGTATCAAAGAAAGAGAAAACAAAGTCATATACACTTCTCTCATTTTGGAGTTATTGGAAAAGTTTTACAAATTTATAGTTGAGACTTCTTATGTTGTGTGCTTATGTGCAGTTGTTCCATATGATGTCTGCACCATAAGAAAGATTTTACGTGTATAGTGACATATTCCTTTTGAATTAAGCTTGAAGTGGTGTAATTTTAGAAAAACAAGTGTTGGATATATTAGAATCTAATTCCAAATAGTTTGGCTGTCAATTTATGTGTGTTTTTACCATCAAATTATTTAGTAGAGTTTATATTTGGTGTTGCGGTTTAACTGGTATCTTCTATTCTAGTATTTTAGCTAATCATTGTAATGGATCATATAAATAAGCCAAATAATTGAAAACCAATCATAACCAACAAATGAAAAGGCCTTAGACCATATTTGTTACTTAGTACTATACAAAACATGTTGCATAGTATTTGACATGCATCAACTAGAATTGTGATTGGTGTCGATGAGACAAAATTTTTAATTTTATGTTGCATCAAAAAGGATGGAACAAGATGGGACATGAGATTGCTTTTGATCTATGTATGTTTATAATAAAAAAATTTCCTCAAAACTTTCATTCACATACATGTCAATATATATACACAATACATATGCATATCTTTTTCCTAATACAATGGGGTCAAACCTTATTTTAAGGAACCAATGATTGACTAAGTTATTTCACATAATAACGTATACAATATATATTTAACATACCCCCGCAGTCGAAGCTGGAGGTTCTCGAATACAGAGTCTGTCTCGAAAATTGTCAAAAAGAACACACGGAAGACCCTTCGTAAAAATATCCGCGATCTGATATCGGGAAGGTACATGGAGAACACGAACTTGACCACGAGCAACTTTTTCGCTTACAAAATGGATATCAATCTCAATATGCTTGGTACATTGATGTTGCACCAGATTTCCCGACAAATAAATTACACTCACATTGTCACAATAAACAAGTGTCGCCTTTTTAATTGGACAATGCAATTATAACAACAAATTTCGTAACCAACATGATTCAGATACGACGTTGGCAACACCCCGATATTCGACTTCGACACTCGATCGAGAGAGAGTAGGTTGT